CGTCTAAACGTGTTTCGTGATGATTCATGACAGCAGATGTTTCGATACTAATGGGCCCACGAGCATGGCTGCTTTCATAATGGAGAGCTCCAGTACGTTCTTATACTCTGATACTTCTATGTGTTATGCAGCTTGCCATAGTTCGTTGACGGATCAATGTCGCCATGATTAGTCAACATAGTATCGCGGTACTTGAAATGGTCGGTCCAGTTTGTCCATCGTAATACCATCCCATAGTATCCTCGGGGTGACGGTCGCAGCGGGCGCCCTCACAATCTGCGTCTTCTTGGCGTTGGCTGGTAGTCTCACGCTTTCGATCAGTATCAGTAGGTAACTTGCGGAGTCACTCAACTTCACGATATCATTCGCTTACTTAAGGCCCGTTGAGAATACAGCTATCTCGAGTTGCTTCGCTAACTTATGGTCAGTCCCTCGTTGTCGTTTTGGACGACGCTCGTCAGCACAACATAGTCTGCCATTATGTTAAACAACAAAGGAGACGACACACCGCTTTGACGAACTCCACTAATGACATTGAATCAAACCGACAATGGCCCTTCAGATCGGATGGCGCATCTTGCCTCTTTCCGCAGACCTTCAGTTAGGTTTACTATTATCTATGGAATTTCGTAGTGCCACGCCACATTGTCCGGCATTGAATCGAACGCTGCAAGGAAATCGAGAAACGTCGTGTGCCAGGGTGGCCGAAAGCTTCTGCACAGCTCGATTATTTTTTCCTGCGCAGGCATGCTCTCTGCGCTCAAACCACCTGTCGGGAAGCCTGTTTGTTCATTTACAGCGATTATCTATGGCCTCCTTCATCCCTCCAAAGACAGTCAGCGCAAATACCTTCTGCAATCAGGCAGAAGGGTAATTTCTCGATAGTTTGTGCGATCGGCGCTGCTCATACATTTGAAAATCGGGATGACCACGTCCCTTTTCCAGTCTTCGTTGATCACCAGCTTCTATCGAATGATAACAAAGATCAGGTGTAAATCCAGTTCAGGTTTTTGCCGCCGCACTTCAGGATCTCTGCATTATTCCGGTCGTGCTACAGGACTTTGAGCTTAGCGAAAACAAAGATTAGCACCGCCTCATAAGCTCCATTGCGGATGAGTACATTAGACTGCGCCAGATCGTGCGAGCCTAAAAGAAAAGATCTGAGCAGTTATAAACTCGTCTCTTTCAATTTCCCTGTTTGAAATGCTTTGGTTTAAACGTTTCTGACTTTTGTCACAGAGCGCTGCCATTCGTGAACTCTAAAAGCAATGGACAATACATAGCCGAAGCTGCGACTTGGTGCATCTGAAATACACATCTATATGGCGTCTGCAGAGCATCCATAACAACACTATGACAGCAAACGCCTATCATCCATCATCACCATCCATCCACTCACAGATACACATATATGGAACACCCGTTGAAGGGCGATCAACGAGAAACTACCGCCACATGAGTTCCAACAGACAAAAATGACTGGCGCTCGTAGCGGGCCGCTTACAAGTTCCCCGTTTGGTAGCCTTGTTTACTTGTTTACTCAACTATGCTTTTAAGTCGTTTGCACTGTTCGGCGCAAAACTTCTCTAAACCCGGTTCAAATCGCCGGCTGGTTACGGAGAGACGATCATTTGAACAGCTTCTGCTTTTGCTTTACGTCTTTGAATACTAAAAACACGCGTCTTGTCAAGTCAGATTCATTGACTGGCGAACTCCGTCCCCTGTACCAAGGATAGATGAGATAATGAAAAAGTTTCATCATGCTTTTTGAAGGTAAATGATATAATTATTTACGGTGACTGAGTGGTACTTCTGTGTTACAGCAGGACAATTCGATTTCAAACCAAAACAGAGATACTGGCCATCATGTGGGACGCATCCTACGAAGAACCTGCAAGACCAGGATCCGCAATAACATCAAGCAAGCTTTTATAACCCAAGTTGGAATTCAACATCCACGTACGGCAAAGAACCGTTGGCAATCATTTATTCTTCAGCCAATTACTCTGTACAGGCATGGCATGGCTCCGGAGGAGTCAAACAGAACTTCGGCGTCATTCGTAGAAACACCGCCAATGAGAACATCATGGGAGAAGTCACAGTACTCCACTATTCTGGCGACTTGTACTGTTGAACATACCCACTCCTCTGCTTCTAGCAGCGCTGCAGTTGCTTATGGGATACCCTACCTCACGTAAGCTCAAATTACAGAAACCATTATGGCTAACCGTCGGCGTGATCCAAAGTGTCGTGTTGTGGCGCAAAATGACGAGTGGCGAAACGCCAAATTGAAACATGCCGTACCAAATGCATGATAATCACATAATTGATGACCCGGCGAGAAAACCGCCGGGATTCCAGATGGCCCGAAAGCAATGAACAACTTTGAAAAGACGATCCTCTCCAGGACCGAACACCATCTGCTCAGTACAAGCAATTCCTACGCGCGACTATGGCTACTCCGACCAGGCAGTGACTACATAGATGGTAAACCACCCTGGCGAAGGTGCCGGTCTTCAACATATGTGGCATTGCCAATTCTTACATCTGATTCCTCGCTTCGCATTGATGGACCACGTGGTGCCACCTGATCGGAGTAGTCACAGTAGAGCGAATAATTCCATGTGTATTGAACAGATGATGTCCGTCCCGGAGTGGGTCAACGGTCTGTGACGATTGGGTCGAATAGGTTTGCCATAGTTTCGCAGCTCTTAATGGGATGTCTGTTCACGTTTGCTTTTCACTATGGTTTTCAGCTGTTTTCCTAAGAATAACGCTGATTTATGCAGACAACGGGCTTGGAATGTTCTCACGCTTTGTAGTTATTGGCATCAAACCAACTGAAGAAAATGGATTTACAAAGCGGCAAATTTAGGTGATGTTGTAGCGAAAACAGATCTTTATTCCTGGAAGTTAAGTTGTGAAAATTCACCCGACATGAGAGGCCATAGATATCTTCGTTACTTGATCGAACCTTCTCGCTGTTAACGGAAATCATCTTCACCTTATTTAGGTGTGCCAGTTAGCGATGCAACGTTTGTCTATCACCAGTCGTCGTTATCACGAGCTTTGATGTCTCTCAGCATGTCGCCTCATTTGAATCAAGGTCTTCTGATTGACCGTAGGTAGTCCCGTGGGTACCAGTTCCTCGCTGGTGAAGTCCATCTGTTAGTTGGATAGTATGACTTGTCCATCGCAGTCAGTGGCGATACGGCGAGGCCGTTTGAACGCCAATCGATTGTCATTCCCGACGATACTACATATGGAGCATAG